TAGGAAAGGACTTCACGGGACACATGGCATTTCAGCTGGACTCTACGATTTGGACAAGCAGAGGCCTCTCCTGTCAAGGGCAAAGCCTACAGCAGTGGGGGTGGGAGCTGATACGGGGCAGAGCCTGACCCAGCTTGGAAGCGCAGGTTGAATGCTAGGTCGTAGAGCCACAGCTTTCCTCTTAGGAGAGGGAGTGGAACGGTGATGATCACACTTGAGTGATGTAGTCTGATGGTAGCCTCGCAGCGAATTTGCCGGCGAGCAGTGGAAGCAGAGAGAGCGGTTGTGTTATGTTTATTGGAGAATACTGGGTCTTCACCGATCCCAGAGCTGGGTAGTGCATTGAAAACCCTGGTCTGAGAACCATTTTTGAAACTCAGACATAGTCTAAGTGACTCATCAGTAAGCCAAGAAGAATTTCTAAGCAGTCATCCCAGACGGGCTCCCCGAATGCACACCGGGAGCGAGGCCATCAGACCGCTCTTAGCCCAGACCACTCCAGTCCAGGGGAGGTGGGCTCCGTGGGAAGCTGAAACCAAGCAGCGTCTGTGCAAGCCCCTGGGCCTGGCCTCCTGGAGCAGGCGGACCCCGGCGGGGCGCCGCGAGGCAGCCCGGGCCGAGCCTGCCCAGCCAGACAGAAAGCCCCCGGGAGAGCCCGGCAGGGGAGACGACGACGCGGAAGGTGAAATCCGAACAACTTCGGAGGCGCAAAAGGCACATTTCTCAATGGCAAACTGAATTTGCCAAAGCAGACTTAAATTAGAAGCCCAGCAAGGGAGCAGGGATTCGAGAGAGCGCAAGCGGTTACTGAATGGGCCGCTGCCGCCCGCGCGGTCCCGACGGTCCCCCCGCAGCCCGCGCCGCCTGCCCCGCCCCTCCGGGACCGCGGCGTCGCGGGCGGGACAGCCCGGCAGGGACGCGGCGGGCGCGGCTCCAGCAGGGCCTTGGGTGCAGCGGCAGCGGCAGCCACACCGGCTTGGGCTGTGGCAGAGAAGTAGAGGCCGCGTGCGTGCAGCCGCGCCAGAAACCGGCTCTGCAAAACAGGCACTGCGGGCGCGAGTTGCGTGAGCTCCCTGGGATTCGAACCACCGGGAGTCACGCATTCACTGATCCGCTCCTCCGGGAGCTTCATTTCCAAACGCAGAGGCAGCCTCTCGTGCAGCCTCTCCGTAACGCACTCCTTCTTCTGGAGCTACTTCACGATGAGGTCTAGATGGAAATGCTCGGACCCCTTCTCACGCCTCCTGCATTATGAACAGTGACACCCCGAGGTTCTTGTATTTTTATGGGCACATAGGAGCACACAGGATTTCTCCATCTTTCCCAAAAACGTCTTCATTGGAAAATAGAGGTCGTGGATTTATAAATAGGAAGGTGGAAAGACAATACTACTGTCTCCCCATTACCCAAGCCCTGTGATGAAAGCAAACACAGAGCTTGGCGCAGAAATTCACCAGAATTCAACATTGCTGTGGAATATCTAAGGATAGGCAGAAATCATTTTTTCTTTTCTTTTTTTCTCATTTCTTTAAAGCGGGACATTCCTGTCTTAGGGAATCTTCCTCTGAGGACTGTAGGCAATATTCATAGTTAGATTTGATATCAGAACTCAGTTATTGGCAATTTTCTTAGGATATGTTTAGAGCTAGAATATATAAAATGACAAGGATAGATGTTTTCTATATCTGACTGTGATTATTGGGTTTTTTTTTCCTTTTAAAGAGGAATAGGCAAGACTTGTATAAATGCCTAAAAAAGAAGTGTCTCCATAAGCTATGGTTTGTGTATTGTGTTTTACCTTAACATAATAAAATATGTTTTGCAGAGGAGAGACTGGAGGCAAGGACAACAGTCACTTTATGTTTATTCCATAATTCTGTGTCTTTACTGATCACACAATTGTGCAGGTAGATTGAAAACTTTTATTTAATGTAATTATAATGCAATTAATGGAATTAATAACTGATCATTGCATTATATAGAAGGGTATGGTGATATAGTAATAATAATGATAATTATTAAGAAATTTTAGATAATGCTAACCAACCTTGAAATGCTTGAAATGCTAGAATTTTATTTAAAAGAATTCTGGGGGCGCCTGGGTGGCTCAGTCAGTTAAGCGTCTGACTCTTGATTTCAGCTCAAGTCATGTTCTCAGGGTCCTGAGATCCAGCCCTACCCATGTCAGGCCCCGCACTCTGCACAGTGTCTGCTTAAGACTCTCTGTCCCTCTGCCAAATAAATACATCTTTTTAAAAAATAAAAAATAAATAAAAGAACTACATGAGAAGGGTAAATGTAGTGTTCATACATATAACTCCAATGGACTAGGAACTACTAGGTCAATTGTATCTGTTGTTGGACACACACTGTTAGTGCCTTTCCTTGGCTGGATGAAGGTGTTTTTGTTCTTGTTTTTCTCTCAGGTTCTCATTAAAAAGACAGAGAAATGGGGAGATACGGGTCAAAGAGCACAAACTTCCAGTTATAAGGATACCAAGTTGTGGGGACCTAAAGTACAATGTAGTGATTATAGCTAATAATGTTCTATGATATACTTGAAAGTTGTGGAGAGTAGATCTTAAATGTCCTCACTACAAAAAAGAAATGGTGATTATGTGACAGAATAGAGGTGTTAGCTAATGCTGTGTTGCTAATCATCTCTCAGGATATAAATTAGCAAATCAATGCACTGAATACCTTAACTTACACAATTAGAGAGAAATAGAGTGAGAAAACTATTTTTCTAACCCAATGAATAAGAAAGGGATGGTTGGGTGCCTGGGTGGCTCAGTTGGTTAAGCAACTGCATTGGGCTCAGGTCATGATCCCAGGGTCCTGGGATCGAGTGTCACATCCGGCTCCCAGCTCAGCAGGGAGTCTGCCTCTCTGACCCTCTCCTCTCTCGTGTTCTCTCTCACTCTTTCTATCTCAAATAAATAAATAAAATTTTAAAAAAAGAAAGAAAGAAAGAAAGGTTGAGGGATGCCCATAAGACCTAAATCCTTTGCATGGCCTTGTAGGCCCTGCATGATTTAGTCCCTGCCCACAACTGCCCTTCATCCTCTGTTATGAAAGCCTCAACCACAGCCGCACACCTCCCTTCCCTCAGCTACTCCTTCCTCATCTGGGCCTCTGTCCTCAGTCATGCTGTTCCCTCTACCTAAAATGCGTTTCCCCTTACCTCCTATCCATCTCTTCTCACTTGTCTTTCAAATGTTAGCATGCATATGTAATGTCAAGTCACCCTGTCGTATGACCGTATGGCATTAATCACAATGTAGAAGTATGTATTTATTTTGTGATCATTTGATCAATGTGTACATCCCTCTTTAGTCTCTAAGTTCCAGGAAGCTTGTGCCTTGTCATACAATAGGCGTTCAAAAAAATATTCACTGAATGGATCTTTAGAGAGGGAAAGGAGAAAAAGTGAGAAAGAACTTATATCTGAAGAAGTAAACTTTTTTAATGTGTAAGCTAAAAAGCTAAGAACCATAAAAGGTGAGAACAGAAAAAAAAAAAAGGAATCTCGAGTCACATACATACAAATATTAGAGTCCTCTGTAAAACCCACATGTTCAGCATTTATGAATGTCAAGTTTCAAAACCAGTTTTCTGATCAGTAGTGTCAGACCTCTCTAAGTTAGGTATTCATAGCTTGTGCTGTTTGCTCATAATAATCCAAATACTTCTGTGTACAGATCTGTGTGAAATAGGCAGCCTGTTTTCTGACGTAATTAGAAAATAGGCTATACTGCTTAACTAAACGTTCTGGTCACTAGAGTCACACTGCACTTATCATACCCATATAATCCATCACTCCTGGATTTGATTACAATAAACTGTATGTAATTCCAAATCTCCATTAGCCACACTTGAACCACTGATGAAAACATGTCAGGATCCTGCAGCCCTTTCGTGATCATTGTTATGGATAACCACGCAGACTCTAGACTCTATCACTAGCAGCTAAGGAAATCCTCACGATAGAAAACTGGGTGAGGGGGTGCCTGGGTGGCTCAGTCGTTAAGCGTCTGCCTTTGGCTCAGGTCATGATCCTGGGATCCTGGGATCCAGCCCCCAGTAAGGCTCCCTGCTCAGCGGGAAGCCTGCTTCTCCCTCTCCCACTCCTCCTGCTTGTGTTCCCTCTCTCGATGTCTCTCTCTGTGTGTCGAATAAATAAATAAAACCTTAAAAAAAAAAAAAGAAAGCTGAGTGAGCTAAGTTTTGCTCAAATAAGTAGTGCATCCTGTAATAATTCCAAGTTCTATGGGATAGAGGTCAACTAATTCTGTTAGTAAAGAACATGTGCTAAATTTGATTAAGAAATACATATGGCCATTAAATTTTTATTATCAACTTAACCTGTGGAAATTCTTAGCCCTCATATAGGTATTTACTTTTAAATGTTTTGAATGTTTGATTTTCAGAAATGTGCTAAGCTTGCCATTTCAAAAGTACAATGCCCCACGTTTTTATATCTCTGTAAACATTAATGGAGTTTTACAACACACTTGTGTGAGCCTTGAGATGACTGCTTCCACTGTGCAGATGAGAGAAGCTGAGGCATGAGGCTGCTTCTGTCAGTTTTCCAAAGATAGCCCCCGAGCCAGTGGAGAGGAGGGCCGGAGACAGAAAACAATCTGTGTCTTCACTGAAAACACATCTTGTACGCATCTGTAGTCTTGGGGGTGGGCTGGGGTGGGTGGGCTGGGGGCAAGGCGGATTGCAAGACCAGAGCTGGCTTTTCACACTCAGTACCTCGGTCTCCACAAGGAGCTCTTTGTGAAAATGTGTACATAAATAAAAAGGGTATCGAGGTGATTACTAGGATGAATCTCCACTGGTCTGAAATGCCCAAGTCCGCCTAATGGCACGAAGAGAGACCAGTTGGCTTTTCAAGGCCTTTCTAACAGTTACAGTTCTATCCCAATGAGAGATTAATGGATGAACAATATTTAAAGTATTTATCTTTCTTTTTCTTTTCTTTCTCTTTATAGATCTATGCAGTTCGATCAGTTGTTCCCAACAAAAGCAATAATGAAATCGTCCTGGTGCTACAACAGTTTGACTTTAACGTAGATAAAGCAGTGCAAGCCTTTGTGGATGGTAAGTCTGCGTGACCCCTAACTCTTCTGTGTCTTCTCAATGCATTGAATTTTTTTCCCCAAATGCATTGCATGTCAATTAGTTCCTAATATTTTAATTCTCACAAAAATATGCTGAGCTTTTTTTTAAAAAAAAAAAAGATTTTATTTATTTATTTATTTGACAGACAGAGATCACAAGGAGGCAGAGAGGCAGAGAGAGAGAGAGTGGGAAGCAGGCTCCCCACTGAGCAGAGAGCCCGATGTGGGGCTCGATCCCAGGACCCTGAGATCATGACTTGAGCCAAAGGCAGAGGCTTAACCCACTGAGCCACCCAGGCACCCCCAAAATATGCTAAGGTCTAAAAACACATCTACATACTCAGTAAGAGCAGGATTTGGGATTTCTTTTTCCTTCATTAAAAAAAAAGAAGAAGAAGAAGATTGTAGCTAGTTTCCAAAAGCTACCTGTTATAATGATACTAATCCCATCGTCCACCAGTCTTTCCAGTTTGTTATAAACATGTCCTTTACTTGATGGTGTCCTTGTTCATGGAGGGTAATGCACTTCCGGACCCGGAAGGCCTCCTCAGCACTTCAGCCAGCACAGTTCTACACAGCCTAATTGACTGCCGTCCTTGCACTTGATGCTTACACAGTCTGAGAGGACTGGTTTATTCTGTAATATCCTTCGTTTTTTATTTTGAGATTGCCCAATTAATTGGAATATCTATTCATCTTATCTACCTATAGAACGTTTGTGCTGTCTAAAAGTGACGTTGTTGAATCTAAAGTCTCAGAATATGTTTATCTTATAAACTTGTGACCTCCTCCCTTATATTTTCTGCAAATTATGGGGAAATTTCCCTCTCCTCTTTGAGCACATTCCATTTATGAACGAAGATCTCCTACTTGTCCTTAGTTACCATATGTCTTCCATTCTGGTGTTAGTTTCTCTGTCATAAATATGGACCAGCTAAACATATCTGATAAGTGTGGTCAGATATATCCTGCTTATATTTCTCAGGTATTGTTTATACTTTATTTGTTAAGGATGGCTTGATTTACTTATTTTCCTAGGAATAGAATAATTTTCCCAAGGTTCTACAAGTCATTTCAGGCAAGATCCTGATACACTCTCACATTCTGATATACACAATCAAGGTTTAGGGTCCCAGTTGAATTTAAAAATGATGGTCATTCAAAGTAGACCTGCAGGCAGACCCATAGTGAGTAAATTTTCTGTTTTCTTTCTGCCTCATGAACGAGCAGATACAGAATTTTGAGTTGTAAGGAACAAATAGTAGAGAATCTGATATTCACTTAATTTGCAGCATTTGGCGCAGTTTGTCTCAAGAAAAAAAATTTTGGAAATCTGCACATCCTGGCTCAAATAAACTCTCAAGATTCAATTGCCGACATCACTTGCATGGAAAAAAGCTTTAGGAAAGGAAAAAGGTTATTATCCCCTTTCCTCCCCACCCTCACTTGGATTGAAGCCCCCACATTCTCCATCATGAAAGTTTTTATTACAAAGTTTTTATTTCATCTGATGAAACGCACAGATGCCCAGGAACTGAAAGAAAGTCCCCAGATCCATTTGTATCTGAGTAACACACCTTGCTTGTCCTTGAAATTGTCACCTTGTCAGTGTTGAGATCTCGTTAGAGTAACTCATTGATTGCTGAGAAACCTCGTATCACTTTGGTTGGGGACCAGTTGGAAAACTTGTTTAAAAACCACTGAGATTCAAAAATATTTGTTAGGAATCACTAATGAGGCATATTAAAAGCACTATTTCCAAGTGGCTTCAAAAGCTCTGAGCAGTTTCAGTATAATTAAAATTTAGTAATAACGGTTTCAAAATTTGCTGTGAACATGAGTATTTTTCCTTCAGAATTACTGTCTAAAAGCTCATTGTCCAAATTGCAAATAGAATTTATGTCAAAATAGGAAAATTCGGGGAATAATCGAATATTGCACTTCAAGCAGTAAACAACTCACCTCCTTTCTCTAATTAAAAAGAACAGTACTTGACACTTCTTAAAATTTAATTTTATTTGGAAAACTGAAGTGTAACTTTAAGTAAGAACTACCCTAATGATTATTAGCCTGGATTGACTAACCAAGAAGCCTAATGAAAGTGACTTTCCTTTTCCAAAAGGAAAATATGGTGAAACATTAATTGTCTGGGCAAATGAGAGAGAGACCAGCTCAGTTAATAAAAAGTCTGAATTATAACTTACTTTTAAGTGCCGTCATATTATTTCAAGTACATGTAACTCAGAAAGCCTAAGAGGGGCATTGAATTGGAAACTTTGAATAGATAGGAATAATTAGCCTGTTTAAACATTAATCAAAGCAATATGGCCTTCTGCTTATCTAACAGTGACAGTGGACTCAATAATAGGGACTCTACTAATTTGAAATTTGTTATAAAGACCAGCCTGAAGTTCATCTTTGTTTAGCCAACACACTCATCGTAGAGAACTATTAGTATAATGAGATTGTACGAGAAGGCTTAAAATTGTTAAAAGAATGCATTTAAGAGCTACTCTTTTAGAAGCACCTATTTAGGGGCGCCTGGGTGGCTCAGTGGGTTAAGCCTCTGCCTTCGGCTCAGGTCATGATCTCAGGGTCCTGGGATCGAGCCCCGCATCGGGCTCTCTGCTCAGCAGGGAGCCTGCTCCCCCCCCCCCGCCCGCCTGCCTCTCTGCTTCCTTGTGCTCTCTGTCTGTCATATAAATAAATAAAATCTTAAAAGGAAAAAAGTACCTATTTATATGAAAACAACCCATGTACCCATTACCAATAACTTAGTGTTGAAATGACGCCCCGCCTAGTTGGAATGAGCGGAGAATTTGTTAGGCCATGTGGAGACAGCGGCCACAGCTGATCAGTCTTTTAAAATATTTTACAACTTAATCAGATTAGGCTTTTCCTCTCTGAGCCTGTGCATGGCCACATACGTATGTGAACCTTAGTTTCACATATGAAAGCGAAAACCTGGGATCAGCTTGTCATTCGACGAACTACTTTTTTGTTTCCAAGTGGAAGCCTTCCTTCTGAAGAGCCCAGCCCATCCCTTTGCGAGGTGACGAGAGCGAAACCAACATCAGATAATCTGTCCTCCTTACCGAGCTGTAAGCTGGGACTGTAGTGGGTGAAAGGCAGGGAAAGGGCAGGAATGGCCACACAATAAGCTTCGGTTCACTTGGTTAATAATATTCAAAATCCCGTGTTTGGTCTGGAAGATTACAGGTATTTTGATTCATATATCAAACAGAACAATTTTAATTCCACCTATGGCAGCACAGCTGACAGAACATTCTCGATATATATTTCATTTTCTGTAAGACAACATAATGATAAAAAGGTAAGCTTCATGTAGTGGGGTTTTAATACTTTGATAAAACCAAGATCATGCAGTGAATTAAATGAAAATCTGGAAATAAAAAATGAAACTGGCATTTTTATTAAGGTAGGATGGATCAAAACAAATTGAAAAGCAAAAAAAAAAAAAAAAATCACTGCCAGGATGGAAAGACAGAGGTGAACTTTGTGCGGTGTTTTATTATGTGAATCCGTGTTCAAGGTTCTTTGTCTTTGTCTAGGCAGTGCAGTCCAAGTTCTAAAAGAATGGAACATGACGGGGAAAAAGAAGGTAAGATGAATATCGATTGTAAATTAAGAACATCTCTAGTCAAAACCTTCATGGTTGTTACCATTTAAACAAGGTTACCAATTTCATGCCTCTTCCAAATAGGTTGATAATGTATAAACAGAAGGTTTGCAATTTCCAGGCTCTCTTCAATTACCAGCCAGCCTCACTACTAATGCCCTTGTTTCCTGTTCGAGTGTTTTGAACCACCAGGTGTGCCGTAGAAGTCCCCGACTTCTTCTTTTTTCAAGTATTAAGGGGAGCCCAGCCGGGGAATTCAAAGGATTCAAGACGTTAACTTGCCTGAACATATTCCATAGCACAAAGGAAAAAATTAGGGAGTGTTTTAAAGATACTTGAAAAGCTCTAAATAGATTTTCTCATGTTCTTCCAACTGTAAGAATCCGTCCAAGGCTGCCCTGAGATACATTTTTTTTTCTTTTTTGCCGAGTTCTAAACTTGATCTTTAACAAAAGAAGAAGAAAGAAAATACCTTGAAGTCATAGTAAGTTAGGGAACTGTTTTCCCTTCTTGAAAAATCCTTTCTTTGAGAGCGCAGATAAGGAGGTTTTACTCTGCCCAATTCGGGTCATTTTGCTTCCCTGGCTAGTCACAAGGAGTGGGGCTTCTAGGCACACGTGAGGTGTGCCCGGGAGCCCCGTGGCCCTCGGGGTCCAGCACAGGCCTGCCTGATCTGTGAGCATCTGTAGAAGCACACCAGCTCCCATAAGGTGTGCCGCCCTTGTCTGGGGCCTGCGACCTGCTGGATGCCTTTCACAAAAAGTCCGATTCTCCTTTCAAATTAACTGCTCCCCCCATGCCCCTTATTTCGCAGTCAGGCCTTGTGTTTTGGGTATCCCACAATATAACAGGCCAGCCCACCCTTCCCCACCGAGGGAAGATCGCAGGCCTGCAAAACAGGTTGTAAGCCTGTAAGCAAACAGAAAGCAGCATTACTTTCATAAAATCTTGAGATGACTGAAATTACCCTTCCTCTTTCTTTCACCCCCTAGATTCATGGGAATAGGAAGAATTACTAGATTTTCTTTCTTTCCCTCTTTCTTTCTTTCTTTTTTTTTTTTTTTTTTACCTTTGCGAGTCAGCCCCTTTGACAATCTCTGCTTAGCTCGATTCATGGCTTCCCTGAAGTTTGTGCCAGGTGACGATTCGCAAGTGATAGAAAGGCAATATTTACACGTCCGTGGAAAAATGTCGGATGTGTGGTTGAGGTATCAAGTTTCTCTGACGTGAATCAGGGAGCAGACAGCAGCTGCAGGCCCAGCTCACTGCTGAGTCCGCATCTTAGAGGTTCATTGAGAAAATGGTCTCCCTGGCCCAGCAGACACGGAGCCTGGGTGGGAATTTGGGCGGCCAGCCCTCCCCTTCATCCTGGGAATGGCTTCTCTGGGCTGGAGGAGCCCTCCCTCGGGGCTGTGATTGTGGTTTCAAAGGGAAAGAAGAGGAGTGGGGAGGAGAATTAAGAGAAAAATGTTCTCTTTTATTTTTTCCTTTTCATATGTGCTGGAGAACAAAGCCAGGCTGGTGTCCAGCGGGGAGCTCCCTGCTGCAGTGGGGCGGGGACAGAGTCTGGGCTGAGGGGTCAGGCCTGAATGTTAACTACACAGAGCCCCCTGTGGGTACAGAACCGAAGTCAAGGAAAGCGTTCCACAGAATTGGGAACATCTTCTTAATTTCCTCTATGTTATTATGTATTGACCATTAGGGCATTTTAGGAGAGGGACAGTAAAACCTGCTGTATCATGATCATCAGGGTCCAAAACGATTTTGATGGGCTAAAATGCAGGATTGGGTGTAAAGTGAGGCCTGGTCATGCTGTTTGACTAGCCCTGAGAGGTCCAGGATTCCAGCTGTGCAGTCCAAACCCAGGGTGGACGCAGAGCAGTTTGGCCTGACTTAATCGCAGTTGTGTGCCCCCGTTGAAATACTTCTGGGGATGACCATGGGACCGTGCCCGCCTTGCGCTCCGTGCCCAGGGGCAGCACTTCCAGGAATCCCCTGGCTGATCCGGGCTTAGCTCAGAGACCCAACTTGGACTTTGGGATGTGCCTTCCACTTCTTCATTTTGCACGGCCTTGTGGCCTTTTTTGTACTGATTGTCCCCCTCAAGCTCCTGTCCTCCCTCAGACGACCAGCACCCTAGAGTCCTCCTTGCCTCCCACCTGCCACCATCATCTCTGTAAGAAACGTGAGCGCTTCTCCAATGGCGCGCTGTCTGAATTCAGGCTATTTCAAAGCAGTTCTCAGAAGGTTTTACTATATTCCCCTTCACATACATCAGGCTTCGGTTTGCTCAAATAATATTTCGGCTTTTAAGCCATTCCCTGCTGTTTTTCCCTTCTAAGGGCATTTCTTTTGTTTACTGGGTCCATGAGTTAAAAGTTTACACAACTTACTGTGAGAAAAAAAGAGACTTATATCCACGTGGGTGGTCAGTAAAGACGTAGGTGTTTCCCCGCATTCGATTAGAAGGGCCAGAGAGCAAATAAGTTAACACTTTTTATTTTGATCTCTCAGGTTCACCTTCTAACTCAAGGGCCTGAGCGGAATAATATTAACTTCTCATTTGTTTCTCATTCTAGAACAACAAAAGAAAAAGAAGCAAGTCCAAGCAGCATCAAGGCAATAAAGATGCTACTAAGGACAAGGCAGAGAGGCCCGAGGCCGGGCCCCCACAGCCACTGCCGCCCCAGATACAAAACGGCCACGTGAATGGCTGTGAGAAAGACAACTCGTCCACAGATTCCGCCAGCGAAAAGCCGGTCCTTGTCCCTCGTGAGAAAAAGATCTCGATACTCGAGGAACCTTCAAAGGCACTCCGCGGGGTCACAGGTCAGTAATTCTTATACAAAGTTGCTTAGGAAGACACAGAAGAGAAGGAGGCAGAGGGAACCCACAGAGGCAGTGGTGGCAGCTATGATACTGTTGGAAGAGAAGGGGCTTCCTTCCAACAAGGACTCAAACGTCTTCTGCGGGAACAGGGTGAGGGGATGTTAGGGGCAGAAGGAGAAAGCTCAGTGTAGCCCTGCACTAAATCAAAGGATAATTTTGGCCAAAGAACATAGTTCTAGTCTATATTAGGATCATCAGGAAAACAGGAATCTCAGTTAAAAGAATTTTCTTTCAAGACACCTTTGCTGGGATAAGGGAGGAATAATTGATGATAACAGCAAATGTTATTAAAGGTTAGATCAAATTATTTTAACTGCTGGTATTTCGTATTACGCGAGAGAACGTAATCTTCCAGGGTGTTAGAATCTGGAATGTTAATTATTTGTGCTAGAGCTATATCTCAATTAATCTACAAAAGGCTACTTTTTAATCAAATGTATGACCTCGGGTGCATCATTTCATCTCGTGTCCCATTTCCTTTCTGTAAAATAAGGACACTGTACCAGAATGTACTAGATCAGTGGTCTCAGCACTAACAGAATGCTCCACTTTTATAACAAATCCTAAAATAAAAATCAGAGATAATGTTGTCTATCTAGAAATGGAACTTCAGTAAAGCAAAAAATATAAGAAATTGGGAACAGCTAAACTAGAAGACTTTTATAAAATGGTCAGATATTCATGCCCACTTAAAATGAATCACTTAGCACTTAAAATAAAACAATGGTCAACGGGACATTGTGGACACTGTTTTTTTGATATTTGACACATGAAGCAAGAGCAAAATAAACATGTTTGTATACAGACCTAGAATCACTCTGAAAGCAGCTACTACAAAGGCAGGCTGACGCGGGGACGCTGGTGGTCAAGTCAGATTCCATGACCACACGTGTCATTGGCTGTGGGACTTTCCAAATGGTGCAAAGCTTTTGGTCAGTTCCACACACCGTAAAGTACAGTTTTTTCTTAATTTACCCCGTATTAAATCCTGGAAATCCATAGGAGGATTGTACAAAAACTACTTTGTGTGTATATATAAAGCATCCAAGAGGACCTGAGAAACACATCGGGACACAAGGCGATGCTTTGTTGTGCAGGATTCCTGTGACAGTAAGTCACCGAACTATAGGTGTAGGCCCTCCCCCACCCACACATTTTTTAAAAATGCCTCCTAATTCCAAACGCCTGGTAGGTCCCCTAGCCAGGACCCCACCACCGGGTAATCCCTGCAGTCCTTCTTCTAGTTACAGAATCTTGCGCTGATAGACTCAGCGACTCTCCAAACTACTCTTATGGGCTCAGCCCTGTGCTGTTCTGCCCTGGAATTCCCAGAAGGATACAGTACGCTTGAGGCCCTGAGGGAGTCGCTTTCTGTTATTCCCAAAGAGAGGGCCGAGTTTACAGTTCGGGAAGGAGAGGGGCTAGCTGCATCTGTGAGCGATCAGGGAAAGCTTCGTGGGCGTCACGGTTATTGAAGGACCCGTAGCCTTGAGGTGGTAGAGGGCTTTGGAGGGTTAAAATGAAGTAGAAAGGACAGGGATCCACACCCTCTGTGGTCTGTGGGGCAGTACTGTCCTCTCTGATCAGCCAAAAATGATCAGGAGGGGCCCTGCCAAGAAGAACTGAGTCCGGCACTGATTTTCTTCCACAAACACATCGCCTACCTCAATAGACAGCGAGCAGTAAATCAGGAGAGCCTCCTGGGACAGCACTTCCTTAAAACCAAACAAACAACAACAGCTCATTTCCATCTGGAATCTAAATTTTCCAGGAATTCTTAAATTCAGTTTTTACCAGGCCTATGATTTTGAGAATGTTTTGATTTATAGTAAGGGCAGGAGAAAGAAATGAAATAATTGGGTGGCAGATTCCCAACCTGGCTTGTTACTGCTTTCCCATGAATTACTTTCAAAATCTAATTACTCAAGTTGCCGTTTTGATATCGGTCATAGACTAAAAGCCTAGCACGTATATTCGTTCATTTACTTAAAATTTATACCTTCTTTCCTAAAACAATTTCGGTAGCTCTGTCAAGTATATGACATTAGGACAAATTCAATATTGAAGCACTTCATGTCACAGTGGCTAGCTGCCTTGAAAGTTAAGTATGCACTAGAGGAGTTCTCTGTATGAGGCAGCTTTTGTCGGCTCTGACATGAAACTTTCTGTGAAGCCTCCTTTATTGCACAAAAAAGCCATCCCAGGATCCTTTTGGTTTTGTTACGTTCGGCACAAAGGTGTTAAAGTACGTCAGTATTACCAGTTAATGTTGCTGGTTCAGTACAGATCCATGCCTCACATCAGTTCTCCTGTTAAAGAATAAATGATGATCTTGGAAGGTCATTAGATATTTTTGCAAAAGGAAGGGAGTCCTGGTTGACCATTAACTCATCCATGGCTCATGTGCTATGATCATACATTTAAAAGTGAGTTTGTAACTGGTTACGTTTTCCTTCCCAAAGACAGTGGAAGTTCACCAGGAGGGTGGTGCCGAGACTGGGAAATGGCTTTGAAATGCCCATCCCAAGGCCTCAAGCCAGGTATTTCACAGACGAGTGTTAGGTCTTGGACATTCTGCAACCCATTATGAGCAGAGCCTTGGAACTGGGAAGGTGGGCAGTGACCCTTTAACACCGTCCCCTCACTGAACTAGAGGAAGCCGAAGCCCCCTACTGACGCCCCCCCGCCCTCGGTTGAGAAGACAAGAAGAGAACCCACACCCCCTGGGGTAACTCCTACTGCTTTGCAAAAGCCTGACTCAGGTCTGTGTGATTTAATGCATGCATTGGAGAGCTGCCGCTGAAGCTACGGGCTCCCCGACTCCGAAAAGATGTATAATTGAAAAATTAGGAAAAAGGGATCATAACAAAGCCATATAATGATATTCTGTACTTGAGTGGGTTCGAAGTATGAGCGGAAGAGAAATCTCCAGGCTGCTTGGCAGCCGAGCGTTTATCAATCTCTCCAGTAATGAAACTGGCTCAGGGAAGCTTGCCCCGACTGCCTAGCTGAGCTGCGGGCTGTGAACACGTACAACGCATGTTTTATCTTTTTATAACACCTTGACACTCAAGATCCCTCTCTTTTTAAAAAATTTTAAACAGAATCATTTTCTGGGAGGGGAGAAGTGAGCTCGAAGATGTATCCAGGTGGTCCAGGGGTGTTGGTGTGACTTTCTACATGAAAACCCGCCGCCGAAAGCATCATCGTTTTGGGCTGTAAATATAGCCCCGTCGTGTGGGACAACGCTGCCTGTCAGCCTGTGGCTTGGAAGTTTGGGAGCTTGATTTAAACTTAGTACAAAATTACTTCTTTAAGCCGTGGAGTAGTTCTTTTTTTCTGTATTTCAGAATTTTTAATAACAGCTCAAATTAGATCTTTTACATAATCCAATCGAGATCATTCTGCGTGCAAGTACAAAGTCAGACAAGGAGTAGATTAAGATTTATTTTTACCAAAAGTAATGCCAAGGATCATTTTTAATCCTGAGGCCCATCTAAATGTCTAAAGCACATTACGACTTTAGGGGCTCGAATTTCCTAAGTATTCTTCCTGCTCTACTTTCCCCAAGGCTCCCGGTTGCTGAAATATTTAGGTGCTTATCACCGTGTAGGCCTGAACAGGATTTGGGATTTCTCTGTCATCCTCCTCCCACTGGACGCAATTCCCACTGAATAGGAAAGAAGCAAGATTACGGGCCACCGACTGGCTCCAGTGACAGAAAGTTCGGGGCGGGGCTTTCCTTGGCGACAGCCTGTCTTGCTGGCTGGCCAGCTTCCTTTATGTCCCCTCATCTTGCGAAGCGTCCCGGGGACCCAGCTCCCCTGTGACTTGTTACCTGTCTCCAACAGAAGGCTCCACACTGTGTTCACGGACCTTCACGGGAGGTTTGTATCCGAGACCAGGAGCAGCCCCGTCGTTTTTGCCCGGACAATGTGGATTCTCTGTTTTGCCATGGGCCTGGCGCAGAACTGCTTTCTCATTCTGAGTGAACTGTAGCAAATGTGACAGAAAGGGTCCTGTTATTTTCAAAAGTTGGCTGCTTGTCTCTCATCTGTGCTTCTTGTTAAACACACACACACACATGCACATCTCACCAGACTATTTCACAGTATTTTTATGCTGTGAGGTTTCCCATAGGATTTTCAACCAGGTTTTTTTTGTTTTTTGTTTTTTTTATGCTGCTGTTGGTCCTAGCCTCAAGATTATCTCCCAGGCTTCTCTAAGCCCTATATTGGACCAGAGGATTAGGAAAGATCAACAAGATGAAAGCAGCTTGCCTAGAACGTTAACAGTAAAGCCAAGTGTATATACTCCAGGATTTCAGCAGAGCCCGCTCTCAAACGGAAGCAGTGTCAGATTGTAGCGAAGAACCAGGCTTTAGCCCTGGGGGTGTTTGGATTCAGGTCTTGGACTGGTCGCTTACTACGCGTGTGACCCCGCACAGGTTAACCAGTCTGCGTCTCAGTGACCTCACCTGCAAAATAGAAAATAGAACTTCCCTTCACAAGAGCTTGCGGGCAGCGGTGGTGATTCGCACAACATCTGGCACAGAGTAAACCCACAAATCGTTTATCTGCCTCGTGAGCCTTTTTAAGCGCCCTGCCGTGGGCCAGGAATTCTTCTAGAGGACGTGAACAGGACAACACGGTCTCTGCCCTCGTGGGGTTTGTGTACATGTTTGAAGGGGGGAGAAGAGATACCTGATAAATCAGAACACAGCCAAGTTACTGAGAGAATTCTGGATTGTCATAAATGCTGTGGGGACAGTGAGCAGGAGAGAGACCAGGCCAGGGGTCGAGGGCGTGCGCGGTGACGTGAGAGAAAGCCATAATGTCAGGCGAGTGATTGAAGAGGAGACACAGGGGCCGAGGCCCAGACGCCCCGAAGCGCGTTCTCTCACGCCAGCCTGCCGTGGCCTGAGCAGTCCATGTTTTATT